CATATTTAGGGGCAAAAATGCCCATTACATATAACCAAAAACTACCATGGCTTCCTGCTCCCTTGGGGTTTAGAAACCCGGCATTTACCTGGTCAGTCGGGCAGAGGTTTTGCAGTCCTCCGTCAGTCTGTGGTTATGGCGCCATCTGGCGGTGGCGGCTGGTGTCACCACACTTCCTGTTAGAGGCATGGGTCAGAGTCATCTTGCAAAATGCATTTCCTGTTGAGTCACTAAAGTCCCATTTCATAACTTTTTCTGCTGACTTCATGCTTTGATCAAATTAGTAGATTGTTTTCTGTGTCCACAATTTCAGTTCCGCTTTGTATTTGGATAGTCAAGTGAGGTGTGGAGCTGTCTTTGCTAATCATAAACCTTGGAATCATAACAGTGCACATTGGGATGAAAGCAGACCTGTCCTGCTGGAGGGAAGCCATTTCCCACACCCTCTCAGGGGAGGGGGGAACAGCTTCCTGTTCACGGCAGAAGGCGCTGTGCTCTGGGTGAGGGGGAGGAGAAGCCTTTACCTCCAGGCAGCTTTTGGTTGAGGATGGGATAGGGGCCATCAGGTAACCTCCAGGCTTGAATGAATCAGAACTTTCCCTCTTACTCTTAAAGATAACATCCATTTCTCTCTTCTCTCTCTCTTTTTCTTTCTTTCCCCCTTTCTTCTTTCTTTCTTTCTCCCCCACTTGAGATAGGGCCTAACTCTGTCACTCAGGTTGCCCTGGACCGCAAGATTTTCCTGCTTCAGCCTCCCTAGTGGTGGGATCACAAGAGTATACCACTAGGCCCAGCTATATTCTCTCTCTCTCTGTCTGTCTCTGTGTGTGTGTGTGTGTATGTGTGTGTGTCTCTCTCTGTGTCTCTTGTCTCTATCTCTGTCTCTCATAGGAAACAACTGAGCTGAACCTTAAGAACTCATCTAGCCGGGCTCTGGTGGCTCATGCCTGTAATCCTAGCTACTCAGGAGGCTGAGATCTGAGGAACGCGGTTCAAAGCCAGCCCGGGCAGGAGAGACCGTGAGACTCCTATCTCCAATAAACCACCAGAAAACCGGAAGTGGCGCTGTAGCTCAAGTGGTAGAGCGCTCGCCTTGAGCTGAAGAGCTGAGGGACAGTGCCCAGGCCCAGAGTTCAAGCCCCACGACCGACAAAAAAAAAGAAGAAAAAAAAAGAACTCATCTAGTCTAGAACCCTGCCCTCCACTAAGCAATTGAAAACAGTCACTGCTCTGTCTCCTTCAAAGTTCCTACAAAGGAAAATGCTGTTTCTCACTTATTCCACATTGAGTGACTTTTCACTAGCAAGTGCTAATTTTTTCATGAACTAGTTAGTTCCTTAAAAAAAAAAAAAATCTTCCTGTGGGGCTCGGCAAAGCGGTTCAGGTCTATAATCCCAGGTACTCAGGAGATGGAGGCCAGCCCATCATAACCAGTGAGCTAGTTGAGGTGGTTCATGCCTTCCCTCCAGCTGTGTGGGAGGTATAAATAGGAGGGGATTGAGGTTCATGGCACAAACACAAGATCTTTAAAAAAAAAAAAATACTGAGAAAACAAAATGGTCTGAGGATGTGGCTTCAACGGTAGAGTACCTACCCCAGGTTCACCTACATGTTGTCACCAATCAGGACTTTTTTTTTCTTTTTGCCAGTACTACTGGGGCCTAGGCTCTGTCCCTAAGCCTCTCTGTGCTAGTCAGGGCCCAGGCTCTGTCCCTAAGCCTCTCTGTGCTCAAGGCTAGCACTCTACCACTTGAGCCCCAATGCCATGTCTGGCTTTTTCCGAATAGTTTTATTGGAGATAAGAGTCTCCCAGGCTTCTCCGCCCAGGCTTTGAACTGCAGTCCTCAGATCTCAGCCTCCTGAGTAGCTAGGATTACAGGCGTGAGCCACTGGCACCTGGATAAGAGGATGTTTTTATGAGCAGTCTTGTTGAGATATAATTCACATACAAGTATTCATTTTAAAATGCACTCGGGGCAGGGGGCTGGGAAGATGGCTCAGTGGTAGAGCACTTGCCTTGCATGCATGAGGCCCTGGGTTCGATTCCTCAGCACCACATAAGCAAAAAGAAAAAAAAAAACATGTAAAATGCGCTCGAGGAGTTTTAGGATATTCACAGATACACACAACTGTCCCCACAGATACCTTGAGAAATTCTTGTCATTCCTAGAAAAACCCTGGGTTCTTTATCAGTCATCCCTTCCCCTGCGCTAAGCACTCAGCTGTCACGCCTGCCTTCTGCTCCTCTGGATTCCCACGCCAGGCATCTTGCCACCATGGGAGCCTACAGCAGTGGCCTGTTGTATCTGATGTCTTCCACTCAGCAGAATGCTTTTAGGGTTTCCCCAGGTAGCCTGGACCAGCGCTTCTGCCTCAGGGCCAAATAGTAATCTGTGGCATGAGTATATCACATTTTGTTTATTCGTTATCAATAGACAGGTTGTTTCTATCTTTTGACTTATACATACACATCCATACACAAATCTTTGTGTGGACATGCATTTTCATTCCTCTTGGATTCCTTGGGAGAATAGCCAGGTTTCATAATAGCTTTGTGTCTGTGTTCACGTGAGGAATTTAACTGCCAGTGTTTCCCAAAGTTTCTTTTCTTTTTTTTTTGGTTGGTCATGGGACCTGAACTCTGGGCCTGGGCGCTGTCCCTCGGCCCTTCAGCTCAAGGCTAGCGCTCTACCACTTGAGCCACAGCGCCACTTCCAGCTTTTTTTTTTTTTTAATCAAGGCTAGTGCTCTCCCACTTGAGTCATAGCTCCATTTCTAGTTTTTTGGCAATTAACCAGAGGTAAGAGTCTCATGGACTTTCTTGCCTGGGCTGTCTTCAAACTACGATCTTTAGATCTCAGCCTCCTGAATAGCTAGACTATTTGTGTACCTTGCAGAGATGTCTAATTGGTTTCCTTGCCTTTCCTTTTCCTCCCCTCCCTCCCTCCCTCCCTCCCTCCCTCCTTCCCTCCCTCCCTCCCTCCCTCCCTCCCTCCCTCGTTTTTGTGTCCCTTCCACTTGCTTTGCTTATTTGACTGCACTCTCACCTGAGCCCTGCCTCTAGCCCAGCGTTTTTATGGTTATTTTAGAGATGGTTTCACACGAACTTTCCTGCCCATGCTGGCTTTGAAGTATGAGCCTCTGCTCTCAGCCTTCTGGGTAACTAGGATTAAAGGTGTGCACTACCAGCTTTCCTTGCCCACTTTTAGTTGGGAGTTATTTATCCTTTTGTTATTGAGTTCATTATTTCTGGATTTGGGGGAGGGGGTCACTCATGGGGTCTGACCTAAGAGCCCGGGCACTGTCCCTTAGTTCTTTTGCTTAGGCTAGTACTCTACCACTTTGAGCCACAGCTCCATTTCCACTATTCTGGTGATTAATTGGAAACAAGAGCATCACAGACTTTCCTGCTCAGGCCGGCTTTGAACTGTGATCTTCATATCTCAGCCTCCTGAGTAGCTAGGATTACAGGATTACTGGTGCCTGGATAGTTTTTTTGTTTTTGTTTTTTATAACACTGTTGGGTTTTGAACTTTGGGCCTCCCACTCTAGCCCTGTTTGGCTTGCCAGGATCTTGATCCTCTTAGTTACACTACTTGTACAGCAGGGATGAGTGTCACATCTCACCACACTGTTTGATATGGAGTCTTTTGACTTTCCCCTCTAGGCTGGCCTAGAACCACAGTCTTCCCAGCCTGCTACAGCACACAGCTAACTATTGGTTTATTTTATTTTATTTTTTTTATTGTAAAGCTACTATACAGAGGGTTACAGTTACATGAGTGAGGTTATGAGTACACTTCCTCTTGAACATTGTTACCCCCTCCATTGTTTTCCCCCTACCATCCCCCCCTCCCTCCCTTCCCCGAGGTTCTTTTTTTTTTTTTTGATTGTGATTAAATGATTACATAATTTCAAAGTCACAAGTTCATTCTAACTTCCCTGGAGCAAATTGTCTACCACAGTCTGTAATATATAACAGTGTTCACATGTTATATACCATATTTGTGAACAGCAGCATGAGGATATTTAGTAGTGGTTCAACCAGATGAGCGGGAGTTCTTTGTATTGGTTTATTTTTGAGACAGCGCATTGCTGTGTAGCCTGGGTCAGGCTTGAATCCAAGATATTTCTACCCTGGCTTCCTAAGTGTTGGAATTACAGGTGCAGATCACCATGCCTAGGACAAGTTTCTAAGTTTTTATGAAACCCAGTTATCTGGTTTTGTCTTTGTTGATATTTTCTTTTCTTTTTTTTTTGGGTCCGGTCGTGGGGCCTGAACTCTGGGCCTGGGCGCTGTCCCTCAGCTCTTCAGCTCAAGGCTAGTGCTCTACCTCTTGAGCCACAGCGCCACTTCCGGCTTTTTTTCTTTTTGCTTATGTGGTGCTGAGGAATCGAACCCAGGGCCTAAGGCATGCAAGGCAAGCGCTCTACCACTGAGCCAACTTCCCAGCCCTCTGTTGATATTTTCTATAGTATGTGTTTATAAATATTTTCACTTCCAAACATAAAATTATAAAAGTTGTTTTGGAAATTGCACCATTCCCTTAAGAACTAGAGATTTCGCTAAGACAGAGTGTGTGCGTGCACACGGGAGTATATATGTCTGTATGCACAGGTACGTGGGGGGGGGGGCGGGGGGAGCACCCAGCATCTTGTGTTACTCACTGATCTCCCCCTAAGGGTTTTTGCCCCAGTGCTCCTTCTCATGAGTGCTGGGAATGTTATTCTAACCGGAGAATTTAAAATAAAATCCCAAGTAATACCAAATGAAAGAGGGCAGGTGACACGTTGTAGGCCTGTTACTATTCTGATTTTTACTATGTTACATCTTGAGACCGTGTACCATCATTTCACAGTGAAATGTGAGGTGCCTTTCATCCCAGCACAATATCAGTGTGCTCCAGAAGGCAGAGCAGGACTTCAGGCGGCGTGATTGTGGTAAAGGTGAGGACAGGCGATCCATTTCCTGTGGCTCCTCAGCCTTTCTTTCCCAACAGGTGTGGCAGATCCCAGAAAATGGACTTACCCTTTCCCTGACGGAACCTGTGGTGATTTTGGAAGGCCACTCGAAGAGGGTCGGCATCGTGGCCTGGCATCCGACGGCCCGCAACGTTCTTCTTAGTGCAGGTAGGGGCTGGCAGTCCTTCCGTGCCCTGCCTGGGCCTCTTGAAGTCCTTTGTGTGGGTGGGGTGTGGGGGTGACTGACTGGTGCGCATGTGCTATGGTCTCAGAGCTGAGCCTTAGCGCAGAACAGTGAACTACACCTATGGCGGTTACCTGACACCCAGAGGGGGATTGGGACACGCTGCCTTAAATGTTCTGATCATTCCAGAAGGCAGTTTTATCTGGGTGTACCTTAGTTTATTTAACAGTCCAGTTTGGGAATTTCCACTGTCTAAACAAATGCTTCACAGCATTGTGTCTGTCTCCTCCTGAGCGCACTGGCTTCTCACTGGAGTGTTTTCTGCGTTTATCTTACAGAAATCTTGTCCTTTGCCCAAAATTCAAGATTCTATTTTCTTTCATAGAAGCAGCATAACAGGCAACTCAGGGCTTGGGGGTGATGGACAGACAAGCTGTGTCTTGCTTGTGGCTACAGGATTATGGATTGTCATCAAAACATTTACTAAGTATACTTAGATGGATGCATTATATACAGTATGTTATACCTTAACACCACTGACTTATTTTACAAAACTATACTAATATTAATGGTAGGAGTTCTAAGGGTTTTATCCTTGCCAGTAAAAAGAAAGCGTATAGGGAGGCACAGGCCCATTTGAAACTGGGAATAGGGGATGTTTATGATTAAGTCCAGTGCAGGTAGCTCATGCCTATAATCCTAGCTACTCAGGAGGCTGAGATCTGAGGATCGTGGTTCAAAGCCAGCCAGGGCAGGAAAGTCTGTGAGACTCTTATCTCCAAAGAACCACCAGAAAACCAGAAGTGGCGCTGTGGCTCAAGTGGTAGAGTGCTCACCTTGAGCTGAAGAGCTGAGGGACAGCATTCAGGCCGAGTTCAAGCCCCACGACCAACAACAACAACAACAAAAATTAGATTTAAAAAAAGATTAGATTAAAAAATTAGGTTAAAAAAAGGTATTACTGTAGGATATGCTGCTTGAGGTTTAGGGTTTTTTTAAATCACCTTTGTCCATCATTCTTGGGAACTCTTTCAATGTTGTATTGAGAACCTCAGTCTGATAGAGAAGAAACTCCCAGAGGCAGAATTCCATCATGGAAATTTCCTGCTGAGTAAATCATCTAGGCCAACATAGGCCATCTGGAGACTATCTTCTCCTTTAAAGTTGCCTGCACTCTGTGTGTGTGTGTGTGTGTGTGTGTGTGTGTGTGTGTGTGTGTGTGTGTGTGTGTGTGTGTGTGTGTGTGTGTGTGTGTGTGTGTGTGTGTGTGTGTGTGTGTGTGTGTGTGTGTGTGTGTGTGTTTTGTCGGTCATGGGGCTTGAACTCAGGGCTTGGGCTCTGCCCCTGAGCTCTTTTGCTCAAGGGTAGTGCTCTACCACTTTGAGCCGCAGCACCACTTCTGGCTACTTAGAAAATGGCTTTATTGGCAAAAATTCATTTTTTATGTGCCCTTCTCTGATTTTGTTTCTTCCTGAACTCTAGTGTCCTGTGAAGGCCTTGGGGTGACAGTAATTGGACGGCAGGGTGGGGTTAGTGATCCTGAAGGGCCATGAGCCTCTCTGGGGCTCGGTTTCTGAATGCACAGACTATTTCATGGATCGCACGTGTCATGGGACCAAGCCGCTCCTGGCCTACCTTTCTGCTGTGTGACAGCATGAAGATCCATCATGCCCCCTTCTCTGTCGTCAGATGTCACAGCATTGCTCATGCCAAAAGCCTGCCATCTAAAGTTCCTTTGGGAAAAGAGAAGAATTGGATTCTGTGCTTGTGTTCACTAGGGAAGGAAACTTGAAATGACTTGGGGCCACTAGCCCAATTACCCATCAAAAAGTAGGATTCTGTTTGAAGTAGATTTGTGTTGTTTGGGGTTGGTTGATTGGTTTGTTCCAATGAAGCCAAACTTAACAGGGTACAGGTTTTCTTTTACAGTCTGATTCTGTAAGTCTTTTCCCATTGTCACTTTGGACTCAAGTAAGCAGCACCCCGGTCCTCAGCACCTGCCTTCCCGTGCATCTGCTTTGTCCTCGTGATGCCTCACAGTTTATCCAGTGTTTGCTGTGCAGGTGTATCTCATCTCTCAGGGGCGTGGTTTGCTCATTGCAGGCTGTGACAATGCCATTATCATCTGGAACGTGGGGACAGGGGAAGCCCTGATCAACCTGGACGATATGCACTCAGACATGATCTACAACGTGAGCTGGAACCGCAACGGCAGTCTCATCTGTACCGCTTCCAAAGACAAGAAAGTGCGAGTCATCGACCCAAGGAAACAGGAGATTGTTGCTGTGAGTATTGTCTGGGACAAACCCCAGTGCATGTGGCACATGAGTCGCGTTGCGTTCCCGCCGCTCAGTGGGCCTTGCTGAGCACAGGTGCCAATGGTGAGTGAGGAGAGGGATGGGTTCAGGCTACTGGCTGTTCCCTGACACTTTTCTTTCCAGATTCCACTCCGCTCACTCAAGTGGTGGCCATGTTCATGAAGGATCAGATTTGATCTGTTCACTGGCATCCTTAAGAGTTTACAAGTTTGGTCCAGCGAAGCCTGACTTCATTCCTGGCCTTGCTAACCGTTGACTTAATTCCTCACCCTGTCTCCAAGAGTATTGTCTTGGTACCTTTCAGAGCTGTGTGGGGTTCTCTATTCAGGCCTCACAAAGCCCATCTCCTGACAAAGAGGTGGACATGGGATCTTCAGTCGGAGTTTAGTCCCAGCATGCCTCACTTCTGCCACACTCTAGGGCCCTTCCTGAGATGTGATGTGTTTGGCAGCATGACTTCTGAATAGAGGTTCGGGCCTAGTGACCACTGGCCCAAGGTTGGGAATTCCTGCCCTCATTAAACAAGGAGCTTAGGGAAGAAGGCTGGGCTTCTGTGTGAACTGTGATGGGGTGAAATTGTAGACTAATTTGAATCTAGAGAAGCACACCCTTGGCAGAGCCTTGAGCCCCCTGTATCTGAGCTGCATCCTGGTGCTCTTGCCTGCTGGTGTCACTGTCTGCTAATGGGTGGAGCTGGTTAGCACTGAGGTCTCACCTAGGAGAGCACACATGAATCCAGAGGAGGGGGCTGAAATTGGGTCCGGTTTGGGGTGCAGGGGGGGGGTTCCCATGCACCTTTCCCTTGCAGTCCAGGTGTGTGAGACATGATAGACCTCTTCACCTCTCTTCCCTCTCCCAGGAGAAGGAGAAAGCACACGAAGGAGCCAGGCCCATGCGAGCCATCTTCCTGGCTGATGGCAACGTCTTTACCACCGGCTTCAGCCGCATGAGCGAGCGGCAGCTGGCACTCTGGAACCCGGTAGGCCCCTTCCCAGCCCTCGGCTCTGCTCCTTCTCTGTGCTCCAGGCAGGGCTCTGGGCTGGGAAATGGGTTTCAGGGTTCTTAACTGCTGTCAAGTGCTCCTCCTCCTGGAGACTCACGGGCAACTATATGCACAAAAATGCATTCTGGGTGTTCCCTAGCAGCGTGTGTCAACTGTGCTTTCAGAAAAGAATGGACAGAGAATCCAAAATTTTAAACTTGGTAACTAAGTTCTGCACTTAGTTGTATTTCACAGTGAATGATCGATCAGATGTCTAACTAAACAAGAGCTGTGGTTGGTGACCGGGACTAACAGGTGGAGAACTCCTGGGTGGTGTGGATGATACATTCCACACACATACGTGTGTGTGTGTGTGTGTGTGTGTGTGTGTGTGTGTGTGTGAGAGAGAGAGAGAGACAGACAGACAGACAGACAGACAGACAGACAGACAGAGAAGGAGGCAGCTTGTGATGCTGCTCTTTGTACTGACTAGACAGTTCTGGAAGATGGGATGGCTTTTATGTTCTTGTCTCTTCATTTTTTACAAGTATTTGTTCTTGTTTGTTTGTTTATTTATTTATTTATTTATTGTGCTAGTACCAGGGCTTGAAGTCAGGGCCTAGGGTGCTGTCCCTTAGCTTTTTCAAACTTAACACTGGTGCTTTACCACTTGAGCCACAGCTCTACTTCTGGCCTTTTGTAGTTAATTGGAGATAAGAATATCACAGACTTTGGTGTTCAGGCTGGTTTTGATCCTTGGCCCTTATGTTTCAACCTCATAAATAGCTTGGCTTATAGGCGTGAGCCACCAGGCTCCTGGCTAGTTATTTACATTTGCTTTCTTACTTTTGTAGCATGTATTATTATGATAATCATGATATATATTTCTATATTTTTTTTCTATATATCATATTATATACTTGGAACTACCTATATTTATTTTACAATAAAAACCAAAGTATTCCTAAGAAAATGAGAAACAGCACAAAGGAGAAGGGCACCATCACATGGACCCACACCAGTGTATGCATTAATGATATGTCAGATGCACACAGTCTTCAGTGAGCTTGATATCTAGTGTTTACGTATATGAAGATTATGTGTACATTGTTCAAATTTTAGATTTCTCTTAGAGGAAAATCACTCCCTTAATCCATGAATATATAATAAGGTTATTACAAAAATTTGTCTTTTAGGTCTGGGAAGGTGGCTCAGTGGTAGAATGCTTGCCTTGCATGCATGAGGCCCTGGGTTTGATTCCTCAGCACCACATAAGCAGAAAAAGCCGGAAGTAGCATTGTGGCTCAAGGGGTGGAGTGCTAGCCTTGAGCTGAAGAGCTGAGGGACAGCGCCCAGGCCCCGAATTCAGGCCCCACAACCGACCAAAAAGAAAAAATAATTGTCTTTGAGATTAGATTATAGGTGGCTCATACCTATAATTCTAGCTACTCAAGTGGCTGAGATCTGAGGATCTCATTTCAAAGCCAGCCCCACCAAAAAGCTGGACACGGAGCTGTGGATCAGGTGACAGAGCACTAGCTTTGAGTGAAAAAGCTAAGGGGCAATGCCTAGTCCCAGAGTTCAAGCCCCAGCACTGGCACACATATACACAAAAAGAGTTGACCTTTATAAACATGCGCACATGTGTACATTTTGTTTTCAGAAAAACATGCAAGAACCGATCGCACTTCACGAGATGGACACGAGCAACGGGGTGCTGCTGCCTTTCTATGACCCCGACACCAGCGTCGTGTACCTGTGTGGGAAGGTGGGCTGTGGGTTCAAGTCAAGTGCCTGCCTGGCCCCCAGAGACTGAGGAGAGGGACCCTGTGTTGTAGCACTAGCAGGTTTTAATTTGTCGGGGAACTTGGTCATCGCCAGCTGAGATAAAAACAGTTTTGGCGTTTTGAGTCTTGCAGGCCGGTCACGAATAGCAACCTGTGCTTGATGCTCTGGCCCAAGCCGGGGTTGGGCCTAGCTGCAATTAGAACAGTCAACTGCTTGCTCAGGCAGTCCAGTGAACAGAGGGGCATTCTGGGTTCAAAATGAACCCAGGATATGAAAATCATATCCTAGCACTTCACGATTGGTGGTTTAGATCTGAGTTCACACAAGGAGGAAATGCATTTTGGGAATTCAGAAAACAACTGGTACGAAAAACTTGCCTTCTCCTCCATTGTTTTAGATCACCGAAACAAATGGAGACTATGAGAACCAAGAGCTCTGTCAGGGCATAAAACTGCCCCATTCTTTTTGTCTGTGTGAGTGTGCGTAAGCGCACGCACATGAACACACACATGTCCTCTCCCCCTGGCAGGGTCACCCTCAGTGTGCAGGCTAGCATGATTATGTGACAGTTCTTTATACTTGGATTATGATAGGCCTCGGGCTTCACCTTTCCAAAGAATTTGACCACTCTAAGCAAGATCATCATAGAATTTTCCACAGTGCAACGAGACAGTACTTGTCCTGAGTTTTAGGCTACTCACAAAAAGGGACATTTCTAATTAGAAAACTGTCATCTTCTCTTGTCCTCTGGTTGTCTAGTGTTGATGTCCTTGGTCTGTGAGCAAATCCTAAGGTCCCAAACCGCACTCCCGGTCAAGTCAGATCATCGGCACTGGTTCATCAGGGGCATTGCTGTTGTCACCCTAACTTTGACCTGGTTTCTAGGCTCAGGATAAAGGAAGAGCCCTGAGGAGGTCGCGGAGACTGTGCACTCGTGGCTGATAATGGGGGTTAGGAGGGAAGTCTTCCAGGAAAGACGCTGTCATGTGTGTAGGCAAGCCTCTTGTGAGGGAGGAGCGAGGTCAGCTCCAAAGTCCCACCCCAGGACCTGGATATGGAAGAGAGAGATGCCTTGCTGAGCGAGGCTTGTCGTTAACGGAACTCAGGCCTGCGTCTGCTGTCTTGCAGGGTGACAGCAGTATCCGCTACTTCGAGATCACAGACGAGTCCCCGTATGTTCACTACCTCAACACATTCAGCAGCAAGGAGCCGCAGAGGGGCATGGGCTACATGCCCAAGAGAGGACTGGATGTCAACAAATGTGAGATTGCCAGGTAAAGAATATTCTAGCTGCGGTGTGCCACCCGTCTAGTGAGTGCTGGAGCAGTATGACTATCAGTAGTTACTCGTTTACTGGGGTTTGAACGGAGAGCCTCACACTCTTGCTGGGCTTGCTTCCTTATGGCGGGTGCTCTTCCACTCAAGTCATGGTTGCCAGATTAGCTTTTTGTTGGTTATGTTGGAGATGGAATCTGGTGGGCTTTTCTGCTTTAGTCACAGCCTTCTGGATCTCAGCCTCCTGAGTAGCTGGAATTATAGGTTGTGAGCCACTGGTGCCCAGTTAAGAGAGGGACTTTTTTGTTTTTTGGTAGTACTGGGAATTGAACTTGGGGCCTTGAGCTTGCTAGGCAGGTGCTCTACCACTTGTACCATGACTTCTAGCCAGTACCAGTAATTCTATAATGCAAGGCTTCCTACCTGGGTGTGTTTTGGAGTGCATTATCTCTTTCCTGCCTTCACTACTAGAGTGGAATAGTTACATGGCACATGGAGCTGATTAAGTATATCTCAAACTTAATCAAATAATGAAACCTTTACTCTTCAGAGTGAAGCTGTGGCTCGTGGCCTGGTGGGCGGGCAGGCCCTGGGATAGAAACCCAGTGGCATTCCTGTCCTTGAGGAAAAGAACTAGGTTCCAGCCAAAAGTGTCCTAAAGTAGAGAAGTCAAGGCTTCTGCCAGGGGTGGAGGTTGCTGGATTGGCAAGCTGGCCTGTGTTGTGGTTTCTGCCTCTCATCATAATGCTAGTGAACTTCCTCCAGAGCAGGCTTGTCCCACACACCCAACAAAAGATCCACAGTGAGGCTGCCCACCGGCCCTGGTGAACACCAGAGCTTTACAATCATGTATGCGATTGACAGATGTGTGATCATGCTGAGTACTGGTGTGTGACATAACTATGTGAACTTGCCAGGCACTGGTGGCTCACGCTTGTAATCCTAGCTACTCAAGAGGCTGAGATCTGAGGATCATGGTTCAATGCCAGCCTGGTCAGGAAAGTCTGTGAGACTCCTATCTCTAATTAACCACCAGAATGCTGTGGCTCAAGTGGTAGAACACTTGCCTTAAGCTGAAGAGCTGAGGGACAGCACCCCAGCTGAGTTCAAGCCCCAGGACTGTCCAAAAATAAACAAACTAACTAACTAACTATATGAACTTAAGCGTGTTGTTGTCTTGGTAATATGAAAGAACTGATACTTGCATCTTTAAAAATAATAGGAGAACATGCAGAAAACTAAAAGTGGACCCCAGCCTATCACCATGAACCAACATCAACTCAAAATGGATTAAAGACCTTAACATTAAACCTGAATCTCTGAAACTACTGCAGGACAGAGTAGGAGAGACACTTGAACTAATAGGCACAGGAAGGAACTTCTTAACAGAGTCCCAGGGTCACAACAAATTGGAGAGAGACTCGACAAATGGGACTACCTTAAAATAAAAAGCTTCTGCACAGCTAAATCTATTGCAACCAAGCTAGAAAGACAACCAACTAATTGGGAAAAAATATTTACCAGCAATATATCAGACAAAGGGTTAACATCCAGTATATACAGGGAACTCAAGAAACTAATCTCTCCCAAACCTAACAAACCAGTTACTAAATGGGCAAGGAAACTAAAGAGGGACTTCTCAGATGAAGAAATAAAAATGGCAAAGAAACACATGAGGAAATGTTCATCATCCCTGGTGGTGAAGGTAATGCAAATAAAGACAACCCTGAGATACCACCTTACCCCAGTCAGAATGTCCCACATCCACAAATCAGCCAACGACAAATGCTGAAAGGGATGTGGAGAAAGAGGAACCCTGTTACACTGCTGGAGGGAATGTACACTTATACAACCACTTTGGAAAGCAGTCTGGAGGGTCCTTAGAAAGCTAAAGATTGACCTCCCTTACGACCCAGTCATACCACTTCTAGGCATCTACCCTGAACAACAGGAACCAATATACAAGGACACGTGCACCTCCATGTTTATTGCAGCACTGTTCACAATAGCTAGGATATGGAAACAACCCAGATGCCCCACCACAGATGAATGGATCCAAAAATTGTGGTATCTATACACAATGGAATATTATGCAGCCATTAGAAATGGCAAAATAATGGCATTTGCAGGGAAATGGATGGAGCTAGAAGGAATCATGTTGAGCGAGGTAAGCCAAGAGCAAAGAGACAAACGGTACATGGTCTCCCTGATAAGTGGATGCTAAATCCAAAATATTAGGTGATACGACAAAATTAACAGGACTTAAGAAACAAAGAACTCCCACTCATCTGGTCGAACCACTACTAAATATCCCCATGCTGCTGATCACATGTATGGTGTATATGTGTACACCGTTATATGTTATAGACCGTGATAGACAGTTTGCTCCAGGAAAGTTAGAATGAACTTGTGACCTTAAATGAGCATCATTATTCCACAATACTGTGAAATTTGGGAAACTATGTAATCACTTAATCACAATTAAAAAAACAAAAAAGAACCTCAGGGAAGGTAGGGAGGGAAGGGATGGTAGGGGGAAAACAATGGAGGGGGTAACAATGCTCAATAGGAAGTGTACTCATTACTTCACTCATGTAACTGTAACCCTCTGTATAGTATCTTTACAATAAAAAATTTTTAAAAAAAATAATAGGAGAGGGGCTGGGAAGGTGGTTCAGTGGTAGAGTGCTTGCCTTGCATGCATGAGGCCCTGGGTTTGTTTCCTTAGCACCACATAAGTAGAAAAAGCTGCAAGTGGTGCTGTGGCTCAAGTGGTAGAGTGCTAGCCTTGAGCTGAAGAGCTGAGGGATAGCACCCAGGCCCAGAGTTCAAGCCCCATGACTGGACCCCCCCCCCAAAAAAAATGAGAGAATATTTATTCCAAGTTTTTTTTGGGAGGGGGAGGGAGGTCCAGTCGTGGACCTGAACTCTGAGCCTGGGCGCTGTCCCTTAGCTCTTCAGCTCAAGGCTAGCGCTCTACCAAAAATGGGAGAATATTATAAATCCCTTTTTTATTGGTCATTAAAGATTATCAAGATTGATTGAGAAAGGGGTCTTGCTGTGCTGGTATCAAACCAAGATCCTCTAACCACCGCCTTTCACGTGCTGGGCTTACAGGCATGTACTACCACATCCAGCTTCATCATAGATTTATTTTTTTTAAAAAAGTAGCTAAAGTAATGAAGTAAAACTGGCACCAATAATTAAAATAGCGGTTTAAACCAAACTAACCAAGATGTGATCCAAAATAGATTCGGTCTTAAGATTTTATCCAGACTAGTGGTGTGTTTCAGTGGTAGAGAGCTTGCCTGCCTGTCACGCATAAGGACCTGGGCTCGAACCCCAGTACTTCAAGAGGACCCAGCACCCAGGGCGTGGACCCGGCTCCCACTGCCTAATGACACGGTGACTTTTCACAAGGGACTTGCTCCCGCGCTGCTGCCTGTACCAATATCCCCCTGCCACCCACTTGGCTTTCTTATCTGTAAAGTGGGACTGTGGGCCTTGCCTCCTGCCCAGGGGGTCACATGAGGGGCAGTAAGAAGCACTTCCTGTCTGGGCCGCTGGGAGAAGGTGGGTGAGATGCCGCTCTCTCATCCCATGTCACTTCATGAGATGCTGCCTTTCTGTCTCCTTTGAAGGTTCTTCAAGCTCCACGAGAGAAAGTGTGAGCCTGTCATCATGACAGTCCCCAGGAAGGTGGGTACCCAGTTTGGGGCAAGACATGTTAAAAATCAAAGCGAGCCAACACCTTGTCTTCCTTACTGAAGGGCCCACACGTGTCTCTTGCAGTCCGACCTTTTCCAGGATGACCTGTACCCCGACACAGCAGGGCCAGAAGCCGCGCTGGAGGCTGAGGAGTGGTTCGAGGGGAAGAATGCCGATCCCATCCTCATCTCCTTGAAGCACGGCTACATTCCTGGCAAAAACAGGGATCTCAAAGTGGTCAAGAAGAACATTCTGGACAGCAAGCCCACAGCAAACAAGAAGTGTGACCTGATCAATGTCCCCAAGAAAAGCACAGACACGGCCAGCGTGGTAAGCAGACAGGAATGTGCGTGCCCATGCAGGGAGTGGACAGTGGACTCGGGGCACAGGCAAGAGTCCTGGGGCGTGGGGCCCACTGAGCTCCGTTCACACTGGGCCCCTTCGGCTCGGGCTTTTAGAATGCTGGCAGTGGAGAGCAGTGTCCTGCTGTCTCTGGGGAGAGGACAAGACCTCGGGGGTCTTCCCCTAGACCCTCCTGATAGAGAAGAAATAGGAAGATATGAAGTGTGGGGTCACAGGAGGCAGGAAGAGAAGCCTTGGCAGGAGGAAGTGGCTAGAATTGGGGTGTGGCTCATAGTCTCCGTCAGCAGTTTTCAGCAGTGGGTGGGGCTAGCAACACAGATGACCTGAGCCTGGGGCAGAGGCCCAGGACCACTTGCCCCTGAGGAGATGGGGTGGCCACTGGAGCACTGCCACCCCAGGGGAACAGGTGCCAAGAGGAGTGGAGTGGGGAGTGTGGGGGCCAGGAGGCTGGAGGGTGGCGATGCTGTGGAGCTGCTCCCGTGGGCTTGTGGCGGGCGGCCTGAGGGATGCTCTCATCCTGCACTTTGCCACCTGGGAGTCCTTGCCCGGGTGGGTAAGGCGTAGGCACGGGACCAGGGGTCGCGCTGAGCTCTCAGCGGGGCTGACCCGTATCAGTTGTGTCCTCCTGAGGCCCAGATGCCATGGCTTTGACCTTTTTCCGCTTGGTGGCTGTGGCTTGCCATCTGCAGAACAGAAAGTCGCATTGGAAGGACTGTGCTGGATGGAGCTGGTTTACTGCCCTGTGCTCACCACTTTTCTGTTTGTTTGCTCTGCTTTGCTTTTAGCAAAATGAAGCCAAGTTGGATGAGATTTTAAAAGAGATCAAATCTATAAAAGACACAATCTGCAATCAAGATGAGCGCATTTCCAAGTTAGAACAGCAGATGGCAAAGATAGCCGCCTGAAGGCCCGCCCCTAACCCTTGGGAGCAAGAACTTGTGCTGGGTAGCTGGCTGTTGGTGTGGTCCTCGGGCGGGGGGGGGGGCGGGGGGAAGGGAGGCACTGCCATCTGGAGACATTCCATTCAGATCTGTCAACCAGCGATAGGCCACATTCCAGTAGGAACTCAATTCCTCTCCTAAATTTGCAAAATCAAGAGCTGAGCTTTTTTTATCCGAAAGCTTTTTTGACGTTTTAAGTGTTATGTGACTTGTTGAACTTTTAAAAGACAAACGTGCTACTTTTAAAATCCCAGATCTTCTGAATTTTAGAAAACAAATCAATTCTGATTCAGTGTCGTGCCCAAGTACCTTTTTTTTTTTTTTTAATGACTAGGGACCAATGCCACATTGCTTTTTGTATTTCTTTTTTTTTTTTTTAATGTTGCCAAAACCAAAAGTAGCTTTTTTTTCTTTGTATTTTGCTACTTTGCAGTATTTGTGTGGGTTTTTTTTTTCCTTAATTTGAAAGGGACAGCACTGTGTATGTTTATAAGGAAATGAAGATATTATTTTGTATAAACACTCATCTGAGAACAATCAGCGGAAGCCACATGGTGCTGGCTCCTTTGCAGCACAAACCTGGTCATTGTAGTGACTATGGAAGGAAGACTTGAAAAAAATCACGTGGACCACATTACCATCCGCATTCTGTCGAGTCTCCTGATCAAAAAGAGCTCACATCCTGTCTCTTCCTCGCTTTCCTTTCTCTTTTCTAGAAATCGGGTGGGTGTAGCAGAATGGAACATTGCTTGACCCTGTGCTTCAGACGATTATAATCTAACCTAAACTCGCATGCGTTTCTGCGGTTTTGTTACCCACACAGAATGTCGCCTTCATCACGTTGAACATGACGGCTCAGGTTTGGTCCATGCTTGACCAGGGCACCCCAGACGGGCAGACTCGCATGTTGCCGAGTGTCCCTGCCCGTGACAGTGACTTGCCTGGTTCTCGAGAGCAGGGGCTGGAGGGCATTCGGGAAAGCCTTTGCCATATGGTCCCATCTCCTGCATGACCCCCTGCTGTCCCCAACACCCACAGAGCGCTCCTTCCTCCTCCTCTTCACCCTGCTGCGACCTCTCAGGGCTCCCCAACCAGTCCTGCCTGGCCGCCCGCCTCTCGGCCCTCACCACGGTCAGCAAGGCGAGGCTCAGGGAACACTGGATGTGGAGACTGAAAAGCATGATCTAGAATGATGCAGGGGCAGGAGCACAGGACCTCTGCTGTCCCTCTGAGCCCTCCGCCTGGCCCGTTCTGTCTCTGCGGCTCATGTCCTCATCCTAACTGATCACAGAGGCCCCTGGTAAGCACGGATGGCCAGCATGCCTGGGCCCGCTGGAGCTTTGCGCTTTTCTGTTCTCACAGCGCATGCTTGTGAAGGCAGACTGAAGGAAGGCACTTCTGTCCCGGAAGGGCTGTTGGTGACTGCCGCGGGCGGGGGCTGGCCGCATGGGTACGTACAGGGAGCCAGCATGTAGGCGGAGCGTGACAGCTGGTTAGATCGCATGGCCCAACTGGGGGACCTGGCCGCTGGCAAGGGAACCAGACTCCTAACCAGCCATACCCGGCTCCCCTCACAGTTTCAGAACATCTGGATGTTTGGTGTGGTGATGTGTGTGTGCGCATGTGTGTGTGTGTGTTTAATATTGACATAGGTATGGGATGTAAAGTTACAGTGACTTGTCGTTCACGCTGCACTGTTCGGATGAGCTCTTCTGAGATGCAGAAACGTGTTGAGGTTCTGAAAGCAAAAGAAGAGGGAAAGAAAGTTGCGGACGGTGGTGATGCCGCAGGGGACTGTGGCTCACAGAAGAGGGGGGGCCGGGCCTGGCGCTCCCGGCCCGACTGCAGCCTCCATTCACGGCCCAGAGTTGCCTGGAGCTTTGTGGATTCTTTCCTGTCTCCCAAGTCTTGCTCGCCAAGCGTCGTCTTTTAAAAGCCAGACGTCCGCAGGAGGACAGTGCACACCCCCGATCGGCTCTTATAGAGCGGCCATAGTGTTCTGTCAAAAACACTTGCTTCCATTTTCAAAGATAAAAATCATTGATTACAGCTCCGTGTCCCGTGTTTCTTTCATACCCAGGCTGCCCACCGTGACACCTCTGGCTCTGAGCCACCAGGGGTCTCTGTTGTTCAAGGGGACCCGGCCTCCTCCATTACAATAGCCTCAGGACCTGCTGCCCCCCCCCCCCCCCAGCTCAGCCTCTGAGCCCTTCCCTTGGTGACATTCCTTGTGGTTCAAGACTCACCTGCGCATGCCCGCTGTGGCTGACTGCCGCCGTTGCCATGGCCAGCTTGCTCCCTTCAGTAGCATGGGTGTCTTAATCCTGTGAACCCCCGTTCCCTCCACTTCACCCTTAACAGGATGCCGTTGCCGACATTTCAGTGTGGCCAGAAATTTACCTTTTTCCAAACGTTTGTAAATGAGGTCAAGGGCAGCATGATCTCTTTCTTGGGGGGCCTTGGCCTAGCAGGCCTGCATCGGGCAGGCAGGACAAGGGAGCACTTGGCAGGAAGGAGTTGCAGACTTCAGAGACAGCGCCAGGCGGGAGGCACAGTGGTCTGTTTAGCGGGGACAAGTCTGCTTCGGCTGCCTGATTCTTTGCCAGCAGACCTGGGGGCCATCGCTTCTCCCCAGACGGCCAGCCAGACCCTGTCTGGGACAACTTCTATTTTTTAAAGAGTTACTTCCTTCACTTATTTGATGTTCTGTGTCCAGAAAAAGTCTGTTGGGTCTTAAGAACCTGTTAATTTTTGAAGTGGCCGTTTCTCTTTCTGGTGGCATCTTCAGTGCCAAAACTTGTCATGGGGTCTTTTATCAAGGGCACAGCGTTCCTTCAAAGGGGCAGTATTCATTGCCCAGACTGGACGAGGCTCTTTAGTCCCAGACAGAAGTCCCTGTCCCCTCAGTGGCAAAGTATGATGTGTTAGATGGCACAGCTTGCTGGAGGAAGGCACACAGACATCCATGGTCTTTTTTGGTGGTGGTGGTGGGCCTTGAACTCTGGGCTTGGGCACTGTCCCTGTGTTCTTCAGCTCAAGGCTAGCACTCTACCACTTGAGCCACTTCCAGTTTTCTGGTGGTTATTTGGAGATAAGATTTGAGATAAGAATCTCACAGACTTTCTGCCCAGGCTGGCTTTGAATCACACTCCTCAGATCTCAGCCTCCTGAGTAGCTAGGAGTACAGGTGTGAGCCACAAGTGCCCAGCTAACGTCCATAGTCTTAACATTCTGACCTTTATTTTTGTGCTAATCCTGGGGCTTGAACTTGGGACAGAAGCTGTGTCCCTGAGCTTTTTAAATTTTGTTGAAGGGTTGGCAGTCCACCACTTGAGCCATAGCTCCACTTCTGCCTTTTTGGGAGTTAATTGGAGATGAGAGTCTCACAGACCAGCTTCGTCTGGCTCTGAACCAAGATCCTCAGATCTCAGCCTCCTGAGTAGCTAGGATTACAGGTGTAAGCCACGAGTACCCAGCCTTGTTCTGACCTTCAACCCAACAATGTTAATTCTAGCTTTTAAGAATATATCTACGGCTGGCTGGTCCACACCTGTAATCCCAGCACTTGAGAGGCTGAGCAAAAGGATCGAGTTGGAGACAGTTGAGGGCTACATAGCAAGACAATGTCTTAAACTCGTGACTATAATAGTCTCAGTTCCCTATGATTTTTGTATTCCAGAACAAAATTTTAATTGAATATATTAACAAGTTAGTAATTATTAAAATAATCACTGTAGTTCAGTAGGGATGCATACACCAAGATAGTCCTAATGGAATGAATAGCTGGAGGGAAATGAAACTTGCAAGAAGAGACTGGGGTAACTCAGGCTTATGAGGGGGTTACTCTACCACTGAACCACACTGCCAGCTTTTTTTCTTTTTTCTTTTGTTGGTTGTGAGGCTTGAATTATGGGCCTGGACGTTGTTCCTGAGCTCTTGAGCTCTAAGCTAGTGCTCTGCTGCTTTGAGCCACAGTGCCACTTCGAGTTTTCTGCTGGTTAATTGGAGTTTCCTGCCCGGACTGGCATTGAACCATGATCCTCATATCTCAGCTTCCTGAGTAGCTAGGATTACAGGCATGAGCCACTAGCACCTGGCTGCCAGCTTTTTTTTTTTTTTTTTTTTTGCCAGTCCTGGGGCTTGAACTCAGGGCCTAGACGCTGTCCCTGAGCTGCTTTTGCTCAAAGCTAGCACTCTACCACTTGAGCCACTTCCAGTTGTACTGAGGAATCGAACTCAGGGCTTCATGCATGCTAGGCTAGCATTCTACTACTACTAAGTCTCATTCTCAGCCCCTTCCACCAGTTTTTTTCCCATGGTGTGGATTTTTCTTTTTTTTTTTTTTTTGAGATAGGGTCTTCCTGCCCAGCCCAGTGCCTGGACTGTGATCCTCTATTTTTGACTTGCTGCCATAGTTAGGATAATCGATGTGTGCCCATACCCAGCTTCTCCCATTGAGATGGGGTCTTGTGTCCCCAAACTGTGATCCTTATCATCTTAGCCTCCCAATACCCAACTGAAACTTTAAAAAAAAAAGCTTTTAAAGGAAATGAGTCACTATCTCCACTTCAGGTTAGGAGAAAGATAATTAAACACCAAAGCAATGGAATGAGTCACAAAACATAGATTGGCCACATTAAGAAAATACTGATTTTCCCTTCCCCTCTCCCCCCCAAAAAAGCCATAGGAACTGGGAAATGTGTTTTTAAACTACTATACGAAGGGGACAGAGGATGGTAGGGGATGATGTGCAAGCTGGAAAAGGCGTTCAGTCTGAAGTTGGGCTGAGGGTAGAGGAATCACCGCCACAACCCATCAGCTTTGGGGTTTGTGACAGGACCAGAAGTTAGGCCTCCGTCACAGGAAGTTGTTGCAGACTTGTTCCTATCGGGAAGTGCTGTCCTGGGTGAAGCAGACCAAGTACCTGTGGTTCACAGCCTCAGCTTCACACTGCTCAGATAGGGGTTCCAAGTGACACGCACTGTGGTCACCCCTGTCTCTAACATAAGCAGCTATTTGAGTGCTGGGTCCTGGGTTCTGTTCCCAGCACCATCACACTGATGTGGGACTGTCACAGGGAGAGGCAAGGTGAACATTCTCATGAACTCTGACCTAAGACACTTCCCCTTGTAAGGATGCCGGGCATGGGCTGCACAACCTCACAACTCTGTTCCCGGTCTCTATCCACCTGTTCCTGCCACTGCTTCCAGAACTTTCTAGAATAATTTCTCTGAAGGAGTCCGGTTCTCCCCTTGTCTGGAGGATAAAAAGTGGCACTCAAAAAGTTTGACCAGCCAGGTGCAGGTGGCTCACGCCTGTCATCCTAGCTACTCAGGAGGCTGAGATCTGAGGATCACAGTGCAAAGTCAGCT